CCGCTGCATGACCCGGCGGAACAGCACGGTCCCGGAGCAGAAGCAGGAGAAGGCAGGGAAAAAAGACACCAACCATACCAAGGAGGTATGAAGAAAAGGGGGGCGGCGAGCTGGGAGCACCCCAAAGCTTCCTCCTGTGCATGAACCATGCCAGTATGGGGGATGTTCTCCCTGTAGCTGTGGGAATCAGGCCCCCATCCCTGCTGCACCCTGAACTGCAGCTTGGAGGAGGCAAAGGCTGGTTGGCAGGGGGCAGCCCCAGCAGCCTCCTTCCCTGACACCCTAAAACTGGGGGCTGTGGGCAGCCTCTGCACTGGGCAGAGTCATCCTAGGTTCTATATTCAGGACTGCTTTGCTGCTGTGAGGAGTCAGCACTGAGCTCCTTACCAAGTCCCCAGATATCCCCGAAAGATCTCCACCATGGTCCCAGCAGTGAGGGACAGCGTGACCTGGTGGGGCCAGGAACACTCCCCAGCAGTAGCTCTGTTGGGACATGAGGATGGGAAGCAGCAGGTCGGGGTCACTGCCCTTCACCTCTGCCTGCAGCGGAGGCACATCCCAAGGCAGAGGGTCCTTGGGAGCCTGGGAAACCTGGGGTGGTGAGGGGGTGACCCTGCTGCAAAGGGCTGGGGTGGCTTCTGCAAAGCAGCCACCCAAAAGCACTCGGGCTTTGAGCTGCGGAGGGCATGAAGAGCCAAGGGCCACCCCTGTCCTGCCCAGAGGGGCTGATGTGGCCAGTGTCAGGGGCTGAGCTGGTCTCTCTCAGCAGGCAAGGGACGAGCCCGGGCTGGTGGGCAGCGTGGCTCACAACCTGCACTCCGCCTGCGCCTCCGGCATCTCCAGCGTGAAGAAGGTCCCGGCTGTGGCCTGGGATGCGGCGGAGGGCTTGATCCTCTTCACACCCCGCAGGCTGTCCAAGGCCATGGAGACAGTGGATGCTCTCGGGGGGACCCTTGTCAGTGCCCCCAAGCATCTGCTGGGCACGCTGTACAGCTATGTGCCGGTGAGTTTGTCCCCAGCCAAGTCCCATTCGTCTCCAGCAAACCCCAGTTTGCCCATCCCTCTCCCGTGAGCGCCCCATAGCTCCGGGCAGTGCCAGGAGGTACCAGAGTGGGGAGATGGGGTGCTGTCAGGACACCTCAGTCCCACTCTCCTCCCGAGCATCCCCCAAGCTGTGACAGTGAGTCCCCCCACGGAGCCAGCAGGTCAGCCAGCGGTGGCACCTCCACGCAATTTGTTCCCAAACCGGGGTGCGACCACAGACTCCTGGGAAGGTGAAAGTTCAGGCCAGGGTCTTGTCCCTTCTCCTTTCCCTGACCCTGCTGCTTCCATGGGAACACCTCTCCACCACAGGCACCCCTGAGGGGCCGTAGTCACCACCTCCCCTCTGCTGGGGACCCCTCTGGGGGCTTGTCCTGAGGTTCACTCAGTTTTGGGGGGCTGCATAGCACAGGGAGAGCAGGGCTGGCAGGCGGGTACAGCCTGGCCGGTGCTCACCC